ACACAATTATAATCATTAAATAAAGTTTTAAATTGAAGGAATGCGGATATAATAATATTTAATATTGGTATAAAGTGAGGTTAACCAACTGACAGATGTCAGATTTTATTTATTTATTTATTTTGGAATATCATTTAATTATCTATTAATTAAAATGTAGTATTTTACACTAAAGATTATACTATAATTACACTACAAGATTATATTATAATATAAAAAATTATTCACTCAGATGAATTGCGTCTCTCGTCTGGTGACTCGAGAAGCAAACCCCGTCCTCGTGAATAATAGCCTGCATTATCTCTTATACCATAATTAAATAAATAAATAAAACAAAGTAGACTTTTCAAACCAAATAACTCAAAAAATACTTCGTTGAAAAATTAACCTTTAAAAAAATATATTCCTTAGGTAGGTAAGTACTTAAAACATAAAGTAATTTTTTTCTAAAAATTATGTTAAAAACTGTTGTTTATTTTGCAGCGGTCTAATGGTCGCCGACAATGAAAAATTTTGTTCAGGAACTTCCTATATAATATAATAACTTTGTTATTATAAACATGTACTTGTCTACTCCTATTCCATATATGGAATTATTATAATATTATTATAATATTGAGTTTTTCTGTACACAATTATAATCATTATAAATTCCCCGTTCAACAACAGGAATAATAAACTCATTATTCACGTTGTTAGGCATCAGTGATTGGCCGATATTAATATTCACTGTGATTTGAACCAATCAGGTTTTAAATTGAAGGAATGCGGATATAATAATATTTAATATTGGTATAAAGTGAGGTTAACCAACTGACAGATGTCAGATTTTAATTATTTATTTATTTTGGAATATCATTTAATTATCTATTAATTAAAATGTAGTATTTTACTTATTTTAGCATTATCTCTTATACCATAATTAAATAAATAAATAAAACAAAGTAGACTTTTCAAACCAAATAACTCAAAAAATACTTTGTTGAAAAATTAACCTTTAAAAAAATATATTCCTTAGGTAGGTAAGTACTTAAAACATAAAGTAATTTTTTTCTAAAAATTATGTTAAAAACTGTTGTTTATTTTGCAGCGGTCTAATGGTCGCCGACAATGAAAAATTTCGTTCAGGAACTTCCTTGGGCTGGGCCACGTTAACTCGACCATGGTTCCCCACCATTACTAACCCAGGACGTGTCAAAGAAATAGTAAGTTACCATTAGTAACGTAGAAGAATAGATTTAAGTTGATTAGGTCAAGAACGGTAACGAATTCAAAAGGGTGCTAATTGAGCACAAAATGTAAAAGCGATCTTTTTAAACGAGTTTATAGTATCGTTTACCTTTCTCTTTTAGGTTTTTTTTTGGGTTTGTTGTAAAGATCTATTGGTATAATTATTTTTATTAACAATTATTATCTATATAATAATTATACTATAATTTATTAGTGTTACTGATATTTTTAATAATATCTAAGATTTTTAGCTTTAGTTAATGACTGTAAATAGCCTGAATTTACCTTTTTTATTCTAACTATCTAGTGATGAATGTAATCATTAATAGTAACACAACTTTCCCATGAATAAATACAGTGAGAACAAATTTATGATAAAAATGCATGAGTTTGTTTATCTTACAATTAAGGAAACATATTAACAATTTTTACTCTTAACCATAATTTCCTATCAGAATATATTAATTCCTTATTTTTCTATGGTATTCATAGTAAATGTTTACTATAAGTTAACACACCTTTAAATTTTGACATTGGGAGAAAGCAGCTAAACGCATCAAGTTCATCGTCACCTACTTTTCGTTGTAGTCTAAGAAGACACTCAAATCTATGCCAAAGGCGTGTTATATGTATTTGTTCTATAAATAACTTTACAACAAGTTTTACTATTTCCTAAAAATCATGAAATAATTCTTTAATTCCTTAAATGTTTTTAAAATTTCATTAAAATCAATTCTTAAGGGTAACCCTTTAAGGGTCAAAAATTTTCAAAAAGCATTTCCTACCTTAAAAAATAACAAATTTCATGATGACACTTAAATACACATTGACAAGCTGTGGCTTTATGGCGCTTTAGTCATGGGCAGAAGTTAGCAAAAGGTTTTAAGTCACGGGCTGAAGTTTTTAAGTTAGTTAACAGTTGTCAAATGTCAAACAATCGTTAAAATAAAGTGCCCTTCTTATTATTATTACCTTAATACAAAAAAATATGAAATAGTTTCTCAACGCCAATGGCTAATTTAAATCATTTTTAGATAATAAGTATTTGTTGTAGAAAAAGTATAGTATGTAAAATATGTATAAGTTTCATGTGTAAGTAATATTACTGTGATAGTATTGTATTTTTTTAAAACTTTTTAACTCTGTAATATTCTTATAAGAATACAATTACATTATATAAATATCCTAAGTCAGTTTAGATATTAACCTCAAACGAAAATATAAACAACCCTTCGGCCCTCATCGGATGAACAATCTGATTTTTTGAGCATTGGTGGAAATAAACGTACCTATGCTCTATTTTGGATTATAGAATAAAATTTCAGGTTCTGTGATTTTATATATGTAATTATACAGTTGGATATGTAGTACATGAGTGTGTATATTTGCAATAATAATAATTACAATTATTGTAAGTTTTAAACTTATATATTAATAATAACCCAAAATACCAAATAATGGATCTGCCACAACACAATGTGAACTGCATTCACAGGTTAACAAAAAAACTATTGTTTTCTAGTAGTAAAAAACAAAAGGTAATAGAAATAGGAAATTATAGTTACCTTTTGGTGGGTTATAGTTATATTAAATGTAATTAAAAATGCATACTTTGCCGTAAATGGCCCTTTTCGCCACTAGTGTCAAGAAGGCATTTTTTTTATAAATAATGGAAACTTTTTTTAATAATTAGGCCGATTTTTATTGGACAAAATTTCTATAGAAGATATACAAAAATAAAACAAACCGACAATGAATAAGCCAAGTCAAGGGTATACAAAACTACAAGTTAACTGATGTATTAAAGAAATACTTTTCGAAAATATGATTTCCAGGCCTTTTCTTTTCCAATAGGGTTTGTCCATGTTAGTGCGAGCCGTGGTTTGCCGTTTTCTTTGTGGGTTAAAAGGCAGCCAGACTCCAGAATTACCGGTCTTTGCATATTAGCCTAATGGGTGCGATAAGTGGCCTGGATGGCGATAAATCAAACCTTTGAACGCTATTTATGGGTGGGAATATTGTATTGCTACAAATTATCTGAAATGTCTAGTGTCTCATAATTTAATAAAAAGCGTCACATTTGTTATAGGTATGGGATATTTCTTGTTTTTTTTTTTATTTTTGAACATGCAGTCATTCTTTAATAACTGATAAGGAATGTACGCAATATGCATTTTAACTATACGTGACTTATCAAGAAAACATTTGAATATTTATTAAAACGTAACCTTTGTTGCGAATTGCATTAGGAAATGTTATTGTGAAAATTGCCGCCTTGGATTCAAAGAAAAAAAAGCAAAATAGGTTAAGATATTTTATTATGGAATTTACTTTGTTTACAAACATTTTTATTATGTAAAAACATTGGATAACCCACATGTTACCATGACACTGTGATTCCACTGCCCGCTATTAGTTTAAACAATATAATTTATTTATCCCCGAGCCCTTTCGGTATAGCGCGCTGCCGCTACCAAATAGTCGAATTTTACAGAAACGATTTTCTTAATTTTTGTAATCCTAAATGTTGATTATTTTTAGGGTGTTAAACAATTCAAACTTTTAAATGACTGATCTTTAATAAATAATAATAATAATAAAAAAGTGGCAAAGGATCATAAACATTTTATAGATAGATAGATAATTATAGATTATAATCAATCAATAAGAAATCCTCAAAACTAAAGGCCATATTTCTTTATTTATTTAACAAAATTTTAACGAAATTAACTCAAACAATATTTATAATTACGGATTGTTTTGAGGAATAATACAGATTATTTATTTTACTAAATGACACCATTTTAAGTCAATTTACTTTTTTTAAGAGTTCTTGACAAGCTCAGTTATCACTTACATAAATATTTACCATACAAATAGAAGAGCCCTTTTTGATCTAAACGTGTTAATTTTATAGTACCAACCAAAACAAACACTTCAAAAGAATGATAGGAATGCCCCCTTAACAAATGTATTTATTGTTTATTCTAATATGATAAGAATAACCATTAATATATTACACCTAATTATAAGTGTAAAATCGTATTGTATGTATATTAGACGCCCCGAGTTATTAATTATGAGTTGTGATAAGATTTTAATTGTTAATATGTTTAATGAAGTGTGGAAATTGTGTAAGTGCATAAAATTACAAAATATTTTATGGGGTTTCAATTGCTATTTATAAGGTTTATATAAATCTTATCGTTAGTCACATCAAATGACACAAACTATAAACTTTTATTTATCGGGTTTTTATAGCAAATTTATTATTACCGATTCCTATCTTTTTAATTAACAATTATTGTTGATTCTGCAGATTATACCTTATAAATAAAAAGATATAATATAAGTGTGGTAAATTATAAAAATAATATGTTATTAACGTAAATTTTATAAATATGTAATAACAACTAAATAAAATAATTTATAATAATGTAAACATTTTAAAATTTAAATGTTTTTAGAATTCTAATTATAATAAGAATTATAATTATAATAAACTACTTATCAAATATATGGCCATAATTTTTGGAAACACTGTAAAAAAAATCTAACTCTAAAACGCCTTTATTATTCTTTATGAAATTTTGGATAAAAATACTTCAACTTATATCTCAATTTACGTGTTCGAGGGTTTTTCGAGAAAATATTTTTAAAGCCTCAAATATAGCAATTTGGATACCCCTGGTATATTTTTTATTGTAATACATAAGTTACATAAGTTACCTTATACCAACTAATACTTTATATTTGCGACAATTTCTTACCTCATTTGGTTCGGATAATTCAAAAAGGTCGAGGCGATTGGCGTTCCATTGGTTGATGACGTTTCGCAGGGCCTCTCTTTCGAGGGCCCTGCGGTCATTCGAATTTCCGTGCATCTACGTATTCTGAAACAAATTGAAAATACAATTATATTAAAAATATATAGTATAAGTTTATAAAAAAAATTATGGTTTATTGTGATTAATAATAATATTATATTATAACCAATAACAAGTAACATGGAAAACCGGTAAGTCAGAAAAGTAAAAATTTTTGTAAAAGAATAAAAATGTTGGAGAAGTATAGCATTTAATAAAAATAAATATTATGAAGAGTTACTGAAATGGTTAAAAAGAGCAATATGGAATATAAAAAAGTTAAGACAATTTTAAGAAAATTAAATTGTTATGTTAAAAAGTTTGGTAGGTAAAATTAAATAAATAAATAAAATAAAAAAAATATTTTTGGCAGTATACTTGGTACTTTTTACATAGTTATGTATTTTTTTCATCTTAATTGCTAATATGGAATTACGACTTCAGGCGTAACCTTTGCCCCCTGTATTTTACATGCACGACTGCTTTCCCCATATTGGGTTAATCATGTCAAAATACATCGTAGAATATTTCGGTTATTGGGCGTATTTAAGTGTTATTTTCTGGTCAGGTAGTTTTCTTACATGGTAAATTATACCTATCTGCAGTTTTAACTATTTTTTTATTTTAAGGAAACAAATTATTTAGTGTAAATATGTATAAAGGTAAAATTACATATAGTTATAACTAACTATATAAATATAGTTCCTTTGGTATGTTTTTTAAATTTAACAATTTTTTGGCGTCGTGTAGTTACCTTATAAGCTTTAGTATTTTTATAAATTTAATTAAAGTTTTATAATATTTGTTATAACAATAGTATATTTTGTATTAAGTTTGATAAACGCCAGTTTAGTCACGAATTTAAATTAGGCACGAGCGAGCTTGCGGATAACTGAGTGTCTAGAAAAGTTTATAAACAAGTTGCATACTATACTTCTTTACGACAAATACGTAATATTATCTAAAAATTGATTTAAATTACATATTTTTTTAAAGCAAAATCTATACGAAATTAAAGTAACCATCCCAATAAACATTTTTGACGTACTTGTGACCATTAACATTGCCCGTTATTAATTTTAATTAAATTTAACGATTATAATAATTATTAATACTTTAAAATATTAAAATAACTTCAAAATATAATTATGTTAAGAAAATACTTTATCATTTAATTTTTTATCACTATAATTGCAAAATATTATTACAAAGTATTAAAAATTCTGTGATCCCTTAGGGCTCTCGTCCCTATTGCCTAGAAATAGGTTTTCGAAAATCTGTTAAATCATTTTTGAGTTACTCTTACTTTCTTGGGTTATTACCTATCACTTAAAATATTATGGTAACCATTAAGATGAAAACTTTTTATAAAAAATTCAAAATAGTCAGACAGCAATAAAAAATTTGTTCAGTGATTATGTCTGCAATTAAATTAGAAGTAAAGTTTGAATTAATTCATAACTTAAAAAAAGTAATTTAAAGTAATTCACGAATTAAATCACTGACTATTAATTCGGTGCCAATCTTGGCCTAAAAATGTATATTATATTCTGTAACTACTATTTGTATTCAATTGATGAATTTTTAAACTTTTAATTTATTTTATTATATTCTTTGTTTAATTTGTGTTTACATTTCTTGTACTATTTTTATATTTGTATTTTCCTGACGTTGTAAACCTTTTGGTAATAAATATTATTATTATACTATATAATAATACAAATTGAAAATATCATGGACAAAAGTACCCACAAAAGTATGAATTTTTTTTAAATATATATATCATTTTGCATTTCCAACGGTTTTTTATTATATTATTACTTAAATGACATTTTACTATGTAAAAAAACAAAATTGTTACTTAAAAGAAAAGCAAATGAGAAAAATTATTTGATGTTAGGACGCAATTAAGAAATTGTTAAAAATGGACATTTAAAAAAATAAAATACGTCTTACAAATCCATACAATCATAAAAATCTTTAAAAGCTAATGGGTGAATTATTGATATTTTTTAAGCCAGCAAGGATTAACATTGTTAAAAAATTCAACAAAAACAGTGTAACAAAGAGAAAATTTATTACCAATAATATATAACTCGTACAAAAATTGCTATCAATAACAATAAAATAACGTTTTATCTCTAACAGCATTCATAAAATCTTGTTTGGTCAACAACAATAACTTCTCAGCCGACGGTGGTCCAGTTTTTCGGGCTCCAAATTCTTTGCAGCCTCCCAATTTTTAATAAAAGAAAAAAATACAACGGAATAATACTGCATTCGACTTGGCAAGTTGACCTTCGTCGTATCGGTGCCAGAGCGGCGTATTTCCCACGATGAACGCGCCACTTCCTGAAGAGGGGTTAGGGAGTTACTCGAAGCGAAACGTTTACAAAATAACCCTTTCCTGTTTTATGCGAAAAAAAAAATAGACGAGAAATAGCTCAATTTCAATGCGGCGGTGTAATTTGAGAGACAGGTGCATGGAGGAAGTAGTGAAATGCAAAAAAAAAAAGAAAATTATGTTAAATTAATTTACTTAATTTTTGCCACGGTAAGTTTTAATAAAACCCTAATTATTTTATTTAAAATTTCATTTTTTTTCGACCCGAAGGCAGTATAAACTTCAATTGTCAAGGTAGGTAAGTAAAATTTAAGTAATAAGGTCCTAATATACATTAATTTGTTCTATTAACAAATATGGTCGTTAATATAAAGGATATCCCAAAAGTCGCGCACCCCCTTGAAGGTGTATGATCTACGGAACCCTAGAAAATTGTATACAGGGAATACATATTTTTTAAATGGCAACATTACGTACTAATAAAGTGGTAGTTTAATTCTTTATCACCATGACAACAAACAACAATATTAAAAAGTGTAAAACTTTGAGCCGGTTTATCAATTAGGGTTTAAACCTTGTTTCAGGGGAACTTAGATCAGTTAATGAACTCAGTTCACAGTCAAATTAGTTTTTCAATGTCGACTCAACAGCAGTTCTGTTGAACTTAGATCAGCGGTGTCAACGTTAAGTTGGTACAACCGAATTTAGTATACGCCTACATTAATAGTAGTTAAAACTGTCATTTTAACAAAAGGATTTTGTGTTTATTTTTGGAGTTTTGTTTATCTGTGCTGTTTTAAAAAGTTCTAATCTGTGCGAAAGGGTATTTTAAAACAATTTACTATTGTTAAAGAATAATAATTATTATTTACCTATTATGGATCAAAATCGTGCTGGCAACTTAACCTCTTTTAAGGAGGAATTATTTGTATGAATTTCGTTTTATAGTATAAAATGAATTTGTCGTTGTTTGTTACATGTGATGAATTTTACTAAAATCTATTACCTATTCAGTAATTATTTTTATAACTAACCTATTGGTCGGATTTGCAATAACTGGTCTAATAAAATCCACTATCCTACGTACAAAAGGTTTGGAATACCGAAATCTGGCAAAAAATTCATCATTATTCCACCTTTCAAAATAATTCGGTCTCACCCGTGGCGTGCACACGAAGTTGAATATTATTTAGGAATTCGCCAATTTCCTCATCATCCTCACTAACTACCTCAAACATATCCATTGGTTTATTATAACAGCAGATTACAAAACAAGATATAAACAACGTAATACACAATAAAGCCGAGAAATTAAGTTATGTCAAGTTGAACTTCGTTTAAAAGGCCAACAGTGACGGTTCATCTTTTGATTTAGTTTAAACCAAATTCAAGCTTGAACTTTGATTGAAAAACGGCATATTTTGTTTGAACCAAGTTCAAATGCTGAACCAAGTTTAAACTATGATTGAAAAACCGGCCCTTAGGTCTAAAATATATTGAAACTTTAAAGTACGGCACCCTATGCGGGATCAGACTAGCTTCATCGATAATAATAAAACAACAATATTTATTCATAAATAGTCTGATTCCGACCTAGGTCTACCCAAAGATATTATTATCTTTTTGTCTACCTACTGATTTCCTTCCAGTATACTGGAATAAGATGAATAAGTGTTAGATATTACCCGTTGGTCTACAGGTCAAATCGAGATTTTTATTTTTTTACTAAACGGTTTCACTATTATATTTATAAATAATGAATAATAAATTATATATTCAGGGCAATTCACTAGCATGAGTCGTTAACGTTACCGACTAGATTTAGTGGTTATCGTTATATTTAAACGGCCTGATTGGTAGGATTGGCCGATAACCACTGGCTGACGTTAACGACTTATGCTAGTGAATTGGCCTGAATATTTCTTTTAATATTTGTGTCGTCAAAAGTTGACCTCACCAATTTTTTTCTAATCTGCCCATTTGAGGGATCAGTCAATTTTTGCAAAAATAAGATAAGTACCCCGATATTGGAATCTTGGACATGGTCTTATAAAAAGTTTTTTTAAATGATGCAGATATATCTGCATAGGGTATACCCTGTATCTGCATGCATGACAACTTATTATATACAGAGTATACCCTATGCATAGGGTATACTCTGTATATAATAAGTTGTCATCTCTTGGGGGATGATAGTTCACGCAAAAGTAAGCAAGTTTTTCCTTTATCACTATTGCATTAGTGCTACTGTTTTTGAATAAAATCATGAAAATTAACGTAGTTCTTGGGCATTTGTTTGGCAGCTACTGGATTCGTTAAACCATGACCTACCTAACGTCTATGGGGTTGGGGTCGACGGACTAAGTGTACTTAGTCTCTATAGAGTCGGCCAGATGTTTAACTGTGGTTCTTATCGGTACTGCTGTGATTTTAACGGGCCTACTATACCGGTCGTCGACAGCCAAAAAATTGATAAAGGGACAACTTGGTTTATTGACGTGAACTATCATTCCCCCATGGGATGACAACTTATTACATGATATAAGATGTGCTTAACTAATCCCGTTTGAAAAGATAACATTTATCGGTGCATGCTGGTAAAAATAAGAAAAAGTTGTGCATCACTGTAAAGTTGCAACTGTATTTTAAAGTTGACTATTTTATGATTTAATAA